CTTGATATTATGAGCATTGAGCTTGCTTCAACTGTGAATGTTAAAATCATGATGTAAAAGATTGCACTCAGTGTGTACAGTTAAGAGAAGCAAGAGAGTTAAAAAACTAGCAGAATCAGTGAGCTCAGAGACACTCACTGATATTCTATAAAAAGTCTTCAAAGTGAAAGAGATGCCTGTGTTGAATGACTCTCTGAATTCTGTGAATGTAAAGAAGAAGCAGGCTTCTGAATAAGATACAGATGAGAATGATGAAGTGAACACTCATCTCAATGTCTTGAGACCTGAAATATTAATGTATAGAGAGCACTTGAGTAAGAATTGAGAGATGGCTGCAAAAGTGTTAGCAGATACAGAAGCTTCTATACAATATATTAATAATTATATAATCTGAAGATTGAAAGAGATCTGCTGAGTGAAGAATCTCTGATATATAAGATTATCTGATAACTGATATTTGATATTATCTGCAAGAGTAAGAGTTTCCTTGCACTTCAGAGAATAATCTTGCTATATTTGAGCATGAGAGCTGCAGAACATGAAATATGATCTTATTCTCAGACTCAACTGATTTCAAAGGTTCAATCTGCAGATTCAATGATGTACATGTCATATGCAGTTGACTGATAGAAAGAAAATAGTTCATATGATTCTATCAACTGATATGAGAAGGACATTTCATATCTCTGATATAGAAGAGTTAAATCTGCTTATATATCAATAAGTAAAGAGAATGATTTGCAAGATCTCATTCAAAAGCATTCTGTATATCATACAGGACTCAGAAGCAGAGAAAACCAAGATAAAGAATATACAGAAGAATAAGTGTATGAAGAAGCTTCTGAAGAAGTATGAAAAGATCTTTCAAACAGATCTTTCACTGAAATTACTGCTGAAACAAGGATTTGTATATGAGATTGACACAGAGAATGCAAAACCAGTCAATCAGAATGCATACTCTCTGTCACAAATGCATCTTGAAGAACAGAAGTGTCAGATTATCAACCTTCTAGAATGTGATCTTATACAACTCTCATCAAGTGTGTGAGGCTTTTCAGTTCTATTCATGAAAAAGGCAGATGAGAAGTGATGAATGTGTATTGATTATCAAGCACTTAACAAGCTTACAATCAAGAATGAATATTCACTGCCATGAATTCAATAATAGTTGAATACAGTCAGAAACACCTGATATCTATCAAAGATCAATCTTCTCTCAGAATACTGACAGATCTGTGTAGACAAACTGTCAGTTCTGTGAACTGCATTTAATACATAATGAGAAAAGTTTGAATTTCTGATAATGTCATTCAGTCTGATAAATGCATCTGTCATCTTTCAAATGATAATGAATACAATTCTTTATAAACAGAATGAAATCTCATGCCTTGTATATCTCAATGACATTTTAGTCTTTTCAAACTTATACAATGAATATCTGAAGCATCTTGATAAAGTGCTTATAACTCTGACAGAGTATAAGCTCTATGTCAAATCAATCAAGTGTGTGTTTGAAACAGAAGAGTTGAAGTTCATAGAACATATAGTGAATGATGACTGTATACATCTCATTCTGAAGAAATTGAATGTTATAGTGAATTGATCATGGCTGAGAAACATACATCATATATGACAGTTTCTTGAGTTGATCTCATACTACTGCAGATTCATCAAGAATTTCACATGAATATCTGCATCACTCTCAGATCTCTTAAGAGAAATGAATACAAATCTGTGAAAGAAGAAGTTTTATTCAATCATCTGAAATACTGCATGTGAAGAGGCTTTTCTCACACTGAGAGAATATGTAATAATATTCTCAGTACTTATTCAATCAGATTGTAATAAACCTTTCTACATTGAGATAGACACATCTGAATAAGCTATCAGAGATGCTCTTCTACAGATGAGTAAGAATGACAAGCTGCATCTGATAGCATACAATGATAGAAAACTATCAGGCATTGAGCTCAATTACTCAGTGTATGAAAAGAAATTGCTAGTAATTAAGCATGCACTGGTGTTGTGAGATAGATATATTGACAATGAGTATATAACAACAGTGATCACAGATTATAAAAGTCTTGTCTATCTACAATCAATGATAAAATCTTTCAAACATTTAGTATGTTGAATCTCAGAGTTCTAAGTATACAATCTTCATATCAAATACTGAAAGAGATCAGATGCAGTGATGTCAGATACAATCAATCACAGATCTGATTTCATGAGTGAGAGTTCTATGAATCAGGTATAAGAGACATTTATGTTAAATATGCTGAGAAAATGCAAGGAATCAGAATGAGTGAATATTATAATCTCTCACTTGAAGAATGACAAGATGTCAGATGATAAGTATCTCATAAGAGTAGTAGAAGAGATGCTTCTGAACTTCAAGCTGAGGAAATTGAGAAATGAAAATGATGTTATGCTTTACTATGATCTAGAATATGCAGAAGCTCTCTATCTAAAACCTTTATTTAGACATGACTTAGTGACTCACATGCACAAGGAATTCAGTCACTTAGAAAGCTCTGAACTCATGAGTATACTCAAATCAAGAGTATACTGGCCAAGCATGGCTGAGGACATTCAGATGTATACTCATGAGTGCCTGAATTGTCAGATTGCAAAAGAATCTAAGAAAGGGTTAGAATATGAGAAAGTGCAACATTAGATGAAGTGTATAATACAATCATTTGAATAATGAGAGGTGAATCTCATAGACATATTGTCATGAACATCAAATGGAAATTGATGAATAATCACTGCTATTGATTATGCTACTGACTGGCCAGTTATAAAAGCAGTTTCAGAGATGACAGAGAAGATGATAGCGAAGTTCCTACATGATAAGATCTATATCAACTATGGAATACCGCACAAGATTCTAACTGATAACAGTGTGAATCTTGTAGAAGAAGCAGTGAGGCATTTCATGAGTCAGTTACAGACAAGACATTGTAGAACAACATCATATTATTCACAGACAAATGAAAAGATGGAACACTTGAATGAAATCTTGAGCAACATGCTGATGAAATATCTAGTGAGCAAGTCTATGAGACTATGGAATGAATATCTCGGGCAGGTGCTGTTAGCCATGCAGATTTGACAGTATGCAGTCATCAAGTATTCATCATTCTACCTGTTGTATGGATTGCATCCGCGCATCCTGGAGAATGCTTTGGAAAAGGTGAGAGAGAGAGCAGTTGCAGATGCAGCAGAAACAGCAGTTGCAGATGCAGTAGAAACAGCAGTTATGAACACAGCAGTAGCAGTTGCAGATGCAACAGTTATGAATGCAGAATCAAGATTGAAAGAGATCAGCCACACATATGCAAAAGCTAATGAGTTACTTCTGAATCAAGCAATTCAATTGAAAAGAATATGAGACTCACTTGTTAAGAAATCAAGTCTCAAGATGAGAACATGAGTTCTTGTATGCAATGAGAGTTCTAAGAAGTTTCAATTTAGATGGTTTGAGTCATATAAAATACTCAAATCACATTCTCTGAGAATGTACACATTGAAAGAATCAGAGAGACAGATCTTACACAACTTAATCAATAATTCATAACTTATGAAAGCAAAGATGTATGATCTGAGTGAATTATAGTCATTCATAGCACTATCATCAGTGTTGAAAAAGAAGAGACTTATAATTGAAAAGTCTCATGAAGTAAGAGAAATCATAGACACTTATGAATCAGATGATCTCACTTATTCTGATCTTTTCATGATTATAAGAAAAGAATAAGAAGAAATGAAGAAATCAGATAAATATCACACTTTAATAAGTGATGAGACTGTAGCTGATCATATGATAATATGCTGCAGACAGTGAGTGCAACACAGTAAAGAGCAGTCTCAAAGTGACAGACTTGCATATGAATCAGATTGCAGAAGAAAAAGGAATTCAGAGTTGAATTCAACTGTTTATATCAGTTCAATTATGAAGATCACAGAGAATGAACTATCTGAAACATTCACAGATATGTGAGACTAAGTCATCTCAATTTCTGAGAATGCTCAGAGATCAGATGAGATTAGTTTTAATGAGCTGTTCACTGTAGTAGTCTGAGTGAGTGAAGAGAGACAGTATAATGCATGAGACAGAATTATAAAAGATGAAAGCTACTGAATCTAGTCACTGAACACTGTATTATATAGAGATTGTGTAAGAGTAATGACTAGCAGATAAAGAAAAAGTGTAAGAAAAGAGATAATGAATTAATCATTAACTGTAAGAATCAGCTGCAAAAGACAAATGTTATTATACACACTTCATTCATTTTCATACATCATATATTTAATCTATTTCCAACATCACATCATCTGAAAAAATATCAAAAACAAAGAAAATCTCAAAACTCAAGATCTGTAAGAGATTTGAGGGCTGCAAGCTACTCTTGCAATAATGCTGTATATATCTCTGATTTCTCTACTGCTCTGTGTACAATATTAATGTCATTTATTGCAAGATTGACTGAAATGCTAATATAGAAATATGCATGTGTATGTGTAGAGAAATTGAAGAAGAGTGCGGGATCTGCAGAACCAGAAGTCAGAACAGAGAGAATGAAGATGAAAGAAATAGAAGAAGAAGAAGATGCAGAATCAGATGAATAACAGTGAGAGTCACTCAGAACTGAATGCTTATGACTTGATATGTGCACAACCTTTCTCACAGAGAAGGGAGAGAAAGCAACAGAAGAAGCTTGAGAGTGAGAGAGAGTAGTTTCTGCAGTGTTATCATCTTCAATTAGAATGATCTCTGACACTGAAACAACTAAGAACTATTGTTAGCATATGAAAATCAAAAAATCAGAGATGAAAACAGTTACTGAATAAACAATCACTGATCTTAGAGTTGTATACATAATTACAACACACACAAGGCTTCTCAGAAAGAGAGAGAGAAACATGAGAGAATACAGAAAGTAGAACACAGTATATAAATAACTCATTTTCATGACAACATTTCAGATAAGATGTACAAGTCTCACATCTGTGAGTATAAAAGAGTACAACATCTGTGTTTCTGTTTCTGAAAACACAGATATCTTTCATCTGCATTACAAAGTCAGATGACAGATGTCAGAGAATAGGCTGATATAGATTTATTATCTTGAAGAAATTCATCAGAGCAGATGTCTCTGTAATATTGAACTTTACAGTTGTAAAAAGTTTCTTGATATCTGTGAACATCACAACTTTATGCATAGTAAAACTTATAATAATTTTTCCTAAGAACAGAAAAATCAGTGTTAGAAAGAAAAGATGAAAAAGAAAAAGACTTATAATCTTGACACTGTTGAGAGAGAGAATGACTCTCTGATATAAATGAACAATTGCTTTATCATAAATATTTAAAATGAATGTAATAATCAGTGTTCATGACTGAGCTTCAGATAGTTATGTTATATGCAGTCTTCATACAATAAATTATTCTGAGAGTCAGTAAGAAGAGTGAGAGTGTATACACTGAGAGAGGTGATTTATTAAGTCTATACAATATCTTTCTGAAATGGGGAGAGCTGGTAATGAAAGCAGAGATAGTAAAATCAGAAGTAGCAGAAGTGAGGGTCGCGGGAACAGAGGTAGTGAGAGAGGAATCAGACACAGAGACAGATGTAGAAGATTGAGAGAGAGCAGCAGAGAAAGAAACAGAGAAGATAGAGAGAGATGTAAGAGATCTGATCACACATGATATAAGCAATTTCTTCATTATTGTATTCTTCAAGTTCTCAATCAATGATTCAACATTGAGTTCACTATTATTAGTGAATGCAGATCTGTCAACATGTGAAGATTCTATACAAATAAAAACAAACATATCAGCATCTGTGTTCATATAAAATTGTGTCAGAAAACATGATCAGAAACTCACTGAGAAGAGAAACAGTCAAGAATGTATAAGAAGATGAAGAGAGTGTATAAGAAGATGAAGAAGATATGTCATTCATGATAGTATGTTCTGACAATTGTTAGAAGATAAATAAGTCCTGACTATGTATGTTTCACAATGTATTACACTTACTGCTAATGAACTGCTCAGTGTGAGCACTATGATAATGCTTGTTATGAGAATGAGAAGTCATTGTCAGAAACGCGTATGATGTGATAGATGAACAGATGAAAAGAGTTAAACAGAAGAAGAGACAGAAATCTTGAATGAGATAGTAGTGTTTAATGATGATAATGATGAAGAAGATGATTGAAGAATGAGAAAAGTTAGTGAATGAGTGATGTAATATAGTGAAAGTTTCTTTGTGAGAGTGTATACAGAATGCTAGCTGAATCAGAAATAGGTTACATGATTGTGAAACACTAGTAGCGAGCTAATCCACATGAAGCTAGGGTGTATGATATGATCACATGAGTGTAACTGAATCTGATGAGAGAGAATGTGATTCAGAAGAACATACAACTGTTGAATAATAACACAGCTGCTTCCGAACTACTAGTGTACGCGTATGAATGTAAAGGGGCCATAGCGGCCGCTAATTAATTTAGCGTACAAGATTCAATATATAAGAAGCCGGTGTACGCCTGTAATCATACGCTGGCTTAAGCAACCTTTGAATCACATAAAGAAGAAAATTGATTTTTAATCAGAGAGCATAGTCTGTACAGTTGAGAAGGCATTTTCTTTGAAGAATTATTTTCATTTCAATCAAGAAATCTATTTCAATCCAGTTCATTTCCAGAGTTAATTAATGAAAATGAAGAAGAGACTCTTTCTCTGATTATATGATTTAAGCTTATCTTTACAACTCTCAGAGCATAGTTTATACAGGCCTTTTCAAATCTAATAGTAGAAGAAGAAATTGAAGCTTCAATTTCCATTGCTTTAATAGAAGATGATTTGAATGCTCTCAGAATTCTTCTCAAGACTCTGTTTTACAGACTTTGAAAGAGTTCAGTGAAATTCCCTTGATTATTTCATCAAACTTGAACTTCATAATCAGCTACTGATGTAATACAGGCTATATATAACTGTCTGATAGCCTGGAAGAATAGACCTCTCTCTGTATTTAATAGTCTGATTATGTTATTCAATAGTCTTTCTGTCTTGACAGTTCTTTGTTGAATGTGATATTTAAAATTCAACTTGAAGTTTAATCATACTTCTAATCATTTAACATTTACACTGGGTTTAATCTGTCTATTTAAAAGAGTTAGAGATAGTTCTTTCTCATTGAATCTCAGAAAGAAGTGAATTAACTCAGTTTTATTCATATCAAATTGAATTTGATTGATATCTGCTCTAACAAAGATTTTCTTTACAGCTTCGTCAATTACTTTCAAATTCTCTTTGATAGTTTTTGAGCTGTAGACTAGACCAATATCATTCATATAACTCAGAGATTGTACTATTCTCATATTTCTATTTTTAAATAGATATGCAGTGTATATTGCAAATAAAATGAATGAGATTGAAGATCTCTGTGATACTTCTATTTTTATCTCAGTCTTGTCTTATTTCATTTCATCAAAGAAGAGTTGTATACTTCTTTTAAATATAAAACAGTTAACTCATTTTATTAGAGAAAGTGGCAGTTTTAATATCTTCAATATCTGAATTAACTTTGACTTTGAAACATGATCAAATGCTTCTTTTATATCAATAAAAACTGCAGTTGAGACCAGACTCTCATGCTTTGCTATTTGAATATCATGAACAACTGAGAGAACAGTGTCAATTGCAGAACACTGTTTTCTATCTCTCATTTATTCACTGAATAAAAGAGAATCATCTATAGAGCTTATAAAAGATAGTTAAGTAGCTATTATCTTTTCTAAAACCTTTCCTAGGCAGTTCAATAGAGATATTACTTCATATAACTTAGAAATTGAAGTTTTTCTATTAAGTTTTATAAGAATCACTTCAGTGGCTTCTCTCCAGCATTCAGAATGATATCTATTTTTCAAGAGATTGAAAAAGAGCTCAAAATATTCATTCTTTAAGTAGAAATATGTATTTTGAATAATTAAGTACTTAATTGAATCAGAATCTGCAGCAGTTTTAACAGAACTTGAGAAGATAGCTGACTCTAATTTATCTTGTGTAAGATCAGGTCATTTTCAGTCATTTTCATCAATGTAATTGAGAAGTAATATATTCTCTTTCTCTGAATCTGAATCTGAATCTGGTGAGTTCTGAAAAAGAATTCTCATGAAAGCTTGACATTTTTTCTCAAAAGAGTTTGCTGTATATGATTCATTCTGAAACTCATATTCTAAGACTGGAAGTTTTGCTACACTTCTTGTTTTAGTATAGTTAAAAGCTTTAAAAACTTTCTTCTCTTGTGCTTCTTCAAGAAATTTATTTCAGCAGTCTGTTTTAGCTCTTTTAATATCTGAAAAATATTCATTTCTGATAGCTTTGAACTCTTCATCAGATATTATATCATTCTTTCAATCTCTTCTAGCAGTAGCTAATTCTTTTCTTTTAGATGAGATATTCTCATTTCATCAAGGTTTTGAATACTCAGAAGATTTTCTCTTTGAAATATTATCTCTAACACTTGTTAGAATAATAGATGTAATAAGCTTCACTCTATTCTCAAGCATTTCATTTGAGATATCTTGATCAGAATTTCAATATAGCTCATTCTGTCTTTCAGATTTTAACAGTTTTATGCTTTCTTCAACTGCTTTTCAATCAGCTTTTTCAAAGTTATACTGATTAGAGAGAAGAGGATTTTCACTCATTTGTTTTTCACTCAGTTTAATATCAAATTGAATAATCTCATGATCTGATTCTGATGTCTCATTTGAATTAATAAATCAGTTTATAAGTCTTCTTTCTATTAGATTTTGTGATATGAAGATTAGATCTATAATAGACTTCTGTTTCATGCCTTTTCTAAAGAATGTTTGTTGATCAGACTTATTAATCAAATCTATTGAATGCTCAAAGATTCATTCAATCAGATTATCAGCTCTCACTACTCTCTTGCATTCTGAATTTCATCAGAGATGATGTGCATTGAAGTCTCCTGCAATTATAGAGTTTCTTGATGAAGTTATATTCAGAAATTCTCTATCAATTGTCCAGATATTGTTATATTTCTTCAATGACTTTTCATTATAGATATTTATGAGCTGTATAGTATCAAACTCATTTTCTCTATCTATAATGTCACTCATCAGAATATCAGGGTCAGACATGATATCAAATCTTAGATTAAATTAATATCTTGATCTCTTTCTTTCATAGATCACTACTCTTGACTTTATCTCAGACTTTTGAGATAAAAAGCAGTAGTAGCTTGAATGAGAAATGACATATTTTTGCTCAGTATTAAAATTCAGCTCCTGAAGCAGTACAAAATCAACTTTTTATTCAAATGCAATTTGAAGATAAGAATAAATGCAATTTGAGTTTCTATTCATTATTTTGAATAAATATGATTTTTGAAGAGTTTTTAAACTTTTTTTGTTGTTTTTGTTGTATATTCATACTAAAAGAGAGTAGAGTAGAATCTAATCACTATTATTAGATAGTAGATTATAACTGTTCTGAAAAGTAGAAATCTTAACTGCTTGCATTATATCTAGTTTATCATCAGAGTCATTTCTCAATTCTCTAATCTTAACAGAAGTTTGAGAATTCAAATTCTGTTTACATTTAGCTGGAGAATTGAAGTTTAAAGACTTAGACAGTTGAGAGTTTCTTCTTTTTAAGCTTACAGTTGTGAGTTTACTGACTTGACTATTCTCTTCAGTTCTAGATTTACTCTGAGCTTCATCTTTTCTTCAGTTCTTTTGAGTTCTTGAAGTAAATATACATTCTTTTGAGCTAGATGCATGTTTTTCTTTGCAATTAGAGCATTTAAGCAGAGTGTGTTGACATATTTCATCTCTTTTTGAGCATGTTTCATATTTATGCTCACTAGTTTTATAATCTCTGGCATAGAATGCACATTTTGAGTCTCTGAAACAGGAGATTACAAAGTGTTTATATCTTTGACAGTTTGAACACTGTGTTTAAGCTTTGAGATTCATTCTTGAGTCTTTGTATTTATAAACTCTTATTTTCAAACCTGCTACTCTTACTTCAGAGATCTTTGACTGTTTCATTGTCTTTGTATATACTAGAACAGAGGCATTTCTTCTGCTTTGTCTGAACTCAATTGAATTTAGTCATACAGGCTTCTTTCTCAGTTGAATAGAGTTGTATTCTTCTAATTCATTTTTGAGAAGTAGCATTCCTTCTTCACAGTCAAAAATTTCAACTGAAATATCATGAAGAATGAATTTATCTCACTTTTCATCTCTCTCAGATAGAATTATTATGTTTAACAAAGATTCTACTGCTGATTTTCAGAGATTCTCATTCTGAATAAGGAATTCAGCACTGAATTCAGACATTGTAGTCAGAATGATGAAGTTTTCAAAGAAGAATGACTCAATTGAAGCTATAACTGGTTTTTGAACTTCAATATCAGTTATTAACTGAGAAAAGAACTGCTGATTGATTTCATTTCTAATTCTGAAAATGAGGTTTGAGTTTAGCTTATTTCTCTGCAATATGTCCTGATTTGAGACTTTGAGAATAAGTCTTCTATTTCTGAAGATTTGAAGATTTTTCTCTTTTTGCATTTTTTTCTCCACTCTTCTATCACTAGAAGTATGAGCAGTATTCTTCTCAGTTTTCTCAGAATTTTGAGCAGATTTTGAGATAGCAGATTTAGAGACAGCAGGTTTAGAGGCAGCAGATTCAGCTGCTTGAGCATATGTTTTCTTCTGATTTAAAGAAGAAGAAGAAGAAGAAGTAGAAAAGAAAGAAGAGTAAACTGAAGAGT